TCTCTCCCTTTCTCTCCCCCCATTCGTCTTAGTTTACTGTTAGTCTTTTCCTCATGCTCTTCCTTCCTGTTCTATTCTTAGAAGAGCCAGGTTTTATCTGATAAATTTTGCTGTTTTTTCCTACTCTTCTCCCCTTTGGGAAAAAAGAACATATATTTATTATTTCTGTGCCAAAGCCCTTTTCAATAATTCATTCTTCTGGGCCAGCCATTTTTAGGATTCCTTCAAGGAGTGTAGATTTACTGGAGGTCGGTGGCCACGGGGCCTGTCTACTCTGCCTGTCTTTGTGCCTTCCTCCACCATCTCTCCCCCACCCTCACCCGTGTTCTTGGGATCCCTCACTGCCTACTCTGCAGCGATGGAACTGCAGCCCGTGAGCACGGATACTGCAGCAGGAAGCGGATGCTCCTGTTTGTGCTCCTTCCTCCTATGGCACGGTCCCTTTATTTGGTGACCCTTGTGAAATACTGAGGCCTCAGCCTGCTGGCACCTCTTAGCACAAACTCTTGCAGGTGCTAAGCTCCCTTTTTACACGTCCAGTGTTTAGAACAGTGCAAAGAAGAGTGCAGCCATCCAGGGCCTGCCTGCTTTGCACACTCCACAGACCTGCACCCAACATCAGCCACCGACAGGTGACGCTTGGGGCTCCAGAGACCTCGGGCCACAGTGCTGCCTCTGGAGCTCTCTGACCCAGACTCCCCGCTGAGCTGTTAAGCCATGTCCCTAGCAGGGAGCCCCCTCTCTGACTGCCCTTCCTCTGGAGTTTCCTCTTCTCCTCCCCCTGCACCCCAAACCTGCCTTAGCCTCTGAATGGTCTCCTGCCATAAAAGCTGTCCCTGCCTTCACACCTGTCAATCACCCAGACACAGTGTGTGGTCTGTGGTCAGATCCACATCAGCCCTGGCCAGGAAACCCGAGTTCTGGCCCACAGCCGTGGGAGGGCTCCCCTGCAGGCCTGTCCCTCGTGGCCTTCTCCTGCAGCCTTCCTGGAGGCCTGGACTCCACTTCCTCTGGTTACGGCTGGTGATCCCACAGTGACTTTCCCTCTGTCTCCTGCGTGTCTCTGGCTTGTTCCCATTGCTGTCCCAACTCCATGTACTCTCTAGTGGAGCTCCGCACGGCCCTGGGGGTCTCTCAGCTCCCTTTGGGGATGAGGACCAGACCCTGAAGGAGGTGTGATTGCTGGTGTTTTCCGAGACCTGTCCCTGCCTGGCCTGCTCACTCCACTTCCCTCCGCTTGGGCCACATCCTTGGCTGGACGGGCGCCAGGAACACGAGACGAGGCTTTCTCCGCGCTTCTCGGGTGCGAGTCAGGGTTCTGTCTCTTCCAGAAGCGGTTCAGTGTGGCTACAGACCTGCCTTTCCAAACTCATCATGGCTGCCCTTCCGCGAACTGCTTCAGGTCCAGAATGGTGAATTCCCGTGGCAAGTGAGTATCCAGATGTCTGGGCAGCACCTCTGTGGAGGCGCCATCATACACCAGTGGTGGGTCCTGACGGCCGCAC